ATGCACTACCTCGGACTTTCGGAGCCACCTTGTTAATGACGTGGCTCGCCCTTTGGTGGGGTGTCAGCTCAGCTGTTTCATTTGAGCCGGTGAGTCTGTTCAACGCAATCTTGGCGGTTTCAGTTGCAATATGGTTGTCGAGTCGGGACGTTTGTTTGTGGCTGCAACCTTCGACTGGCAAAGATGTTCCTACAGAACCTTCGTACCGAGTTGGGTTCGGAAACGAAGAGTTCCGCCAAAAACTGGGGCGGCAACGGCAAACCCAACTCGCCCAAGACATCCACGGAAAAACCGCCGCCTTTTCGGTAGACCCTCTTGGAAATCGGGTCTGGGTCGCGATACCATATGGCGACAAAGGCGATGTGGTCGTCACATTAATGCTGCTCGATACCGGGTGCTTTGTGTCACTGTATCTGCTTGGACATACCTTGGCATCTGCCTTTTTCCTTGCCGCCTATGGAGTCGGCTTTGCAACGTTGCAAGGAGTCACCGAACTCGTCAATCTCGGCGCTCCCACCGGGCCATTAACCGAAGTCCTTCGATATGCGCATCTTGACCTGCATTTCGCAGGATGGACGAAAACCAAAAACGCATTTGACTGGTGGAAACTTGGCCCTGGTGAACCACGAGCCCAGGTGCCGATGGGCCCTGCCCCCGGCGCCGGCCGCACGTTAGTACCAAAGTGGTGTTTCAAGAACCTCAACAAACTCGGCACTCCGATCTGCCGTCCGCCCAAAGAGTGGGAAAATCTAGGCAAAGGTATCGGCGCCATGGCGGTTTCGTGGCTTTACAACACCGACAGCCTCATTGGGGGGCACCAAATGACGTTGCGAGTCGGGTACATGATGCCCTTTGCCGGAGCACCCGGAGACGAGACTGGGTCTTATATGTTTACTCGAATTTATCATGAGGCTTCGAAAGCACTCATCACGCCGCTTTTTGTCCCGCGTGCCCCCTCTGTTGCACGCAATGGCAACTATTTTCATCGATTCTGTGACAGGTATAAAGTAGATGGTAACGACTTTGAAGCGGCAAAGAAGGAACTTGAGAAACATGGCACTAACATTGAAGCTCCGGAGACCGTCCGCCGCCTCTACGTTGCGATGCAAGGAGAAGCGGAACGAGCAGCTGGGCGAATCCAAACCAAAGCGTCGGTGTTGAAGAAACCTAGCGTTGAACCACCTGCCACTCCACTTTCTTCGACGACGGACCCTAAAAGAACCACGTCGCCCCAACAAGTTCAACAGGTCCCCGGAGGTGAAAGGAAAGAGGCTTTTGAAGGTCCCACAGTGTCGTTTGGAGACGTTCAGGTCCGAGCCATTGGAGCTACGGCAGTCGACCCTCCGACCGAACCCTCGGTGTCGGCCTCCCAGCGATACGAAGGCGCGTCTGGGTTGTCGTTGTTCGGACAATACCGAGCTTCCGAACTTCCACCTGTTGACACCAGGGCTTTGTCTCGAGTGCAGCCTATTTTGTCAGCGCCGTTTGATTCGGTGGGGTCTTTGGCTTATGCCTCTGCGATTTCTGAGGACTTCGCCGAGGGAGACCCCCAAACAGATACAGAAGAGGATCGGACTTTCTCGAGCGATGATGAAGACGAAGACCTTGACTATCGAGCCGCCCTAGCTGAAGACTCGCAACCGGGTGTCTGCGATCAACATTTCAGCCGTATGACTCCTGAACAGCGAAAGCTTGTTTATGATTGGGTTGCGAACGCTGCCCATACGAGGCGGTTCCGAGAGAGATGGCGTCCGCATCTCTTATTCTTTTCTCTACTTAGGCATCCCTTATTCATGTTCGGAAAGTTCCAAATTGGGAATTGGATACTCTTGCTTCCGGGGCTAACTGCTTGTGTCGCACTGGTGGGATTGATGTTGTTCTCGAACGGGGAAGGAGACCCAAGAGTTGCCATGACCGTGCGAGGCATGGGCACCCACGCATAAGCACGACATACGTTGCCTTTGTTTTGCGATCTACGAGCTTGCGCACACGATTTGCCTCCTTAGCCGCGACACTATTCGCGCCCCTCGTGGAATCCCGAAGGTGGACGACCTAGTCGTCGCCTCTGATCCAACGATGAGCTCGAAGATGGAGGTGCCTGTGATTTTACAGACCGAGGATCCCGATTGCAAGGAGGTGGTCGAGGCTTTACTAATCGAACGACCTGTGAGGAAGACAACGAAGGGCGCGTTGGTGCTGCTTTGGTGTTCTTTCGGATTCTGTTTGGTATTGCATTCTTCAAATTTATATTACCTGGACTTGCAACTACATGGCTCGGATACTATGGGTCTTCGTCTTCGTTGGTTGTGGTATAATGACTCTTGAGTAGCAAGGATCTTGCGCAGTAGTTGTATTCCATTCCTGGACTCTTGTCACTTCATTTATTTGAGGACTCAGGATCATAGCATCGTAGAGTCTGGGGGCTCGTATGCTCGCCAGTGCTAAACTCCATGGAATGGAATCTAACTGCGCACGATCCTCGCTACTCAGTCATACCACAAATAACGAAGACGAAGATCCATGATTATGTTGTTGTAAACGTTACCAAGAACCTGTAGAAGGGGAACCTTTCCCCAGATCATGAGTTAGTGTTTCCGAGGACAACACTTCAAAGGAGCCGTCCTGTCGGTATGAACTGTTGCTCAAGGACATCAGCGTCAGAAAGTTCAGGACTACAGGCGATAGACATGACATGACCGTCAGAGACATGACATGGTGATGCTGATGCTTCCGCTTCTCAGCCAGTATAGGAGAGCGTGAACCGTGTTCGTCCGTCGGTGGAGGTGGACAGAGATGAAATTGGTGAAACTCGCCAAAAGTAAGAAACGAGAGCTCGCACTATTTCTATTTCGGAGAAAACAAACAAGCAAAACAAGGCTACTCAAAGTGCTATTTATGAAGAGAGGCTCTATCCTTTGCTGTTCTAGATTTTCGTTCTCCTTGATCTCTCTTGTAGAAATCTTGGAGTTTATCTTCACACCCTAGGAAGTGTCTAGTATTTTTCAAATATAAGTGCGAAATTCCCCTCTGGTTTGTCACTGTTGGGGACGTTGTTCCCCTGTCATATCCTCGTTGATGTCTTGGCGCTCGCTTTC